CCCAATACGGTTCATGAAAGCACAATACGGTTCATGAAAGCCCAATACGATCCATTAAATCCAATACGGTTCATGAAAGCCCAATATGGTTCATGAAAGCACAATACGGTTAATTAAAGCCCAGTACGGTTCATTAAAGCCCAACGGTTCATAAAAGCCCAATACTTCCATGAAAGCCCAATACGATCCATTAAAGCCCAATACGGTCCATTAATACCCAATAAGGTCTATTAAAGCCCAATACGATCTATTAAAATCCAATACGATCCATTAAAGCCCAATACGATCCATTAAAACCCAATACGATCCATTACATCCCAATACGGTTCATGAAAGCACAATACGGTTCATGAAATCCCAATACGATCCATTAAATCCCAATACGGTTCATGAAAGCCCAATACGGTTCATGAAAGCACAATACGGTTAATTAAAGCCCAATACGGTTCATGAAAGCACAATACGGTTAATTAAACCCCAATACGGTTCATTAAAGCCCAACGGTTCATAAAAGCCCAATACTTCCATTAAAGCACAATACGATCCATTAAAGCCCAATACGATCCATTAAAACCCAATACGGTCCATTAAATCCCAATACGGTTCATGAAAGCCCAATACGGTTCATGAAAGCACAATACAGTTCATTAAAGCCTAATACGGTTCATTAAAGCCCAACGGTTCATAAAAGCCCAATACTTCCATTAAAGAACAATACGATCCATTAAAGCCCAATACGATTCATTAAAGCCCAATACAATTCATTAAAGCCCAATACGGTTCATTAAAGCCCAATACGATTCTACCAAAGCCCAATACGATTCCACCAAAGCCCAATACGGTTCATTAAAGTCCAATACGGTTCATTAAAGCCCAATACGGTCCATTAAATCCCAACACAGTTCATTAAAGCCCAATACGGTTCATTAAAGCCCAATACGGTCCATTAAAGCCCAATACGGTCCATTAAAGCCCAATACGGTTCATTAAAGCCCAATACGGTAAATTGTTAATTTTTTTTTTTAAATTATTTGATTTTCTGCCGGAAATCCGCCGGAAATGGTAAATTTTTTTAGAAAAATTATTTAATTATCCGCCGGAAAATTGTTTATTTTTTTTTAATTATTTAAATTTCCGCCGGAAATCCGCTGGAAATGGTAAATTTTTTTAGAAAAATTATTTATTTTTCCGCCGGAAATCCGCCGGAAAATGTTTTATTCTTTTTTTTAAAAATTATTTAATTTTCCGCCGGAAATGGTAAAATTTTTTAGAAAAATTATTTAATTATCCGCCGGAAAATTGTTTATTTTTTTTAAAATTATTTAATTTTCTGCCGGAAATCCGCCGGAAATGGTAAATGTTTTTAGAAAAACTATTTATTTTTCCGCCGGAAATCCGCCGGAAAATGGTTTATTTCTTTTTTAATTATCCGCCGGAACTCCACCGGAAATGTTAAATTTTTAAAAAAAAATTATTTATTTTTCCGCCAGAAATCCGCCGGAAAATTGTTTATTCTTTTTTTAGAATTTTTTTTTAATTTTCCGCCGGAAATGGTTATATATATATTTTTAAAATATTTAATTCTCCGCCGGAAATCCG